ATGATAGGGTGGATAGGGGGGCAATGTGGTAGATGTTGCAGGTGTATGGTGTAGGAGGTAGGTTACTGAAAGCAGTGAAGAGTTTTTACGAGGATAGTGAGGCTCAAGTTAGAGTACATAGGAAAGAGGGAAATTATTTCCCAGTAAAAGTAGGCCTTAGACAAGGATGTGTGATGTCACCATGGTTGTTTAATATATTTATAGATGGGGTTGTAAGAGAAGTAAATGCGAGGGTCTTGACAAGAGGCGTGGAGTTAAAAGATAAAGAATCACACATACAGTGGGAGTTGTCACAGTTGCTCTTTGCTGATGACACTGTGCTCTTGGGAGATTCTGAAGAGAAGTTGCAGAGATTGGTGGATGAATTTGGTAGGGTGTGCAAAAGAAGAAAATTAACAGTGAATACAGGAAAGAGTAAGGTTATGAGGATAACAAAAATATTAGGTGATGAAAGATTGAATATCAGATTGGAGGGAGAGAGTATGGAGGAGGTGAATGTATTCAGATATTTGGGAGTGGACGTGTCAGCGGATGGGTCTATGAAGGATGAGGTGAATCATAGAATTGATGAGGGGAAAAGGGTGAGTGGTGCACTTAGGAGTCTGTGGAAACAAAGAACTTTGTCCTTGGAGGCAAAGAGGGGAATGTATGAGAGCATAGTTTTACCAACACTCTTATATGGGTGTGAAGCATGGGTGATGAATGTTGCAGTGAGGAGAAGGCTGGAGGCAGTGGAGATGTCATGTCTGAGGGCAATGTGTGGTGTGAATATAATGCAGAGAATTCGTAGTTTGGAAGTTAGGAGGGGGTGCGGGATTACCAAAACTGTTGTCCAGAGGGCTGAGGAAGGGTTGTTGAGGTGGTTCAGACATGTAGAGAGAATGGAGCGAAACAGAATGACTTCAAGAGTGTATCAGTCTGTAGTGGAAGGAAGGTGGGGTAGGGGTCGGCCTAGGAAAGGTTGGAGGGAGGGGGTAAAGGAGGTTTTGTGTGCGAGGGCTTGGACTTCCAGCAGGCGTGCGTGAGCGTGTTTGATAGGAGTGAATGGAGACAAATGGTTTTTAATACTTGACGTGCTGTTGGAGTGTGAGCAAAGTAACATTTATGAAGGGATTCAGGGAAACCGGCAGGCCGGACTTGAGTCCTGGAGATGGGAAGTACAGTGCCTGCACTCTGAAGGAGGGGTGTTAATGTTGCAGTTTAAAAACTGTAGTGTAAAGCACCCTTCTGGCAAGACAGTGATGGAGTGAATGATGGTGAAAGTTTTTCTTTTTCGGGCCACCCTGCCTTGGTGGGAATCGGCCAGTGTGATAATAAAAAATAATTAAAATCCTCTCTATTTCTGTAATATGTCTTCCATTCTATCAAATGAGACCAAGAAAACAAGAATCCAACCATAAATACTGTACAAAAATACACCTCAAAGTCGGTGTTTTAATCCAAAAACACGGTCGGAGATTTTTTTTCTCATTATGTACTGCGTGCTGCAGGATTTTTTTTTTTTTTATACTGCACATACTGACCACACAGACCCCATTCTCTCACATGTGGGCCTACCAGCTTTCTCCTGCTTGATTTGAAGCCGCTAGAATTTTGGAATATAAATAGGTCAAAAACACTGGCTCATAAGACATATATATATATGACCAAAACAGTCAAAGGGTTAAAGAATGGTGGCTTCTTGGCTTATTTCTTTTAAGTCAGCAAAGACTTCTTGCATAGAGGGACAGTGCCATTAACAGTCATGCAATCCATTCTGTCAACTTAATACGTATAATTAACACACTTAACCCCCACTGGGTTTTTCAGTGAGAATCTCAGGATTAGACTTCAAGATAAATAACCAATGAACAGTATATAAAATTTATAAGACTTAATATATAATTATAAAACAGGAAGATAAATCCCTGCATAGTTAGTCAACTAGAATAACAATTCCTTGTAAACCCAGGGTAATAAAACTAGAATTAATATGTACATAAGCTGACACACTCTGAATATATATTAGAGATTATACATTAACCCTAACACTGTCCTCCCATGTAGATCTACATCACTGACACCAATGTCACTCACTTAGATTAAGTTTTAAGCACAGCTCCCTTAGATATGCTGTGAGCAGTAAATTTTGGACTAGATATGAAAGAATTGGCCTGTGAAGTAAGTGTGCACAGTATAAAACAAAAAAATTCCTGCCTCCAAGCAGTGAATGATGGGAAAAAATGAAACCTCTGAACTTGTGTCTGTTCAAAAAAGAAACTTTCAAGGGTAGTTCTTCATGGTTTTATTGGTATTTTTTTGGTATCAACTGATAGAATGGAAGACATACTAGTGAAATAAATAGATATAGATAGATGAGCTGTTGGAGTGTGAGCAGGGTAATATTTAGTGAAAGGAAACTGGTTATTTTTATATAACCAGACTTGAGTACTGGAAATGGAAAGTACAATGCCTGCACTTTAAAGGAAGGGTTTGGGATATTGGCAGTTTGGAAGGATATGTTATATATCTTTATATATAGTTCTAAACTGTTGTATCTGGGCACCTCTGCAAAGACACTGATTATGTATGAGTGAGGTGAAAGTGTTGAATGATGATAAAAGTATTTTCTTTTTTTTCAGCCACCCTGCCTCGGTGGGAGACGGCTGACTTGTTGGGAAAAAGAAAAGAAAAGAAAAAAAGATAGAGAAATTTTCATTTTTCTTTTTGGGCCACCCTGCTTCGGTGGGATATGGTCAGTGCATTGAAAGAAGATAATCTTTTTTTTTTAACACACTGGCTGTCTCCCACTGAGGCAGGGTGATCCTTTCATTTTCATTCATACATAATGACTGTCTTTGCAAAGGCATGAAGATATGACAGTTCAGGCATCGCTCCAAACAGCAAATAACTCAAACCCCTCCTTTAAAGTGTACTTCCCACCTCCAGGACTCAAGTTTGGCTAACTAGTTTCCCTGAATCCATTCCCAAAATATTACTCTGCTCACACTCAAATAGCTCATCAAGTCCCAAAAACCATTTGTCTCCACTGAATCCTATCTAACATTCTCACACATGCCTGCTGTATATCCAAGCCCCTTGCACACAAAACCCATTTTACCCCCCTCCCTCCATCCTTTCCTAGGATGACCCCTACCCTTCCTCCCCCCTCCAGTACAGATTTATACACCCTCCAAGCCATCCTATCTTGCTCCATCCTCTCTAAATGACCAAACAACCTCAACAACACCTCTTCAGCCCTCTGAATAATACTTATAGTAACTCCACACTAATTTCCACACTACAAATTCCCTACATAATATTTGCACCACACATTGCCCATAGACATGATGTCTCCACTGCCTCCAGCCTCCTTGTCACTGCAGCATTCACAACCCATGCTTCACACCCATTTAACCCTTTGAGGGTCGACAGGCCCTCTCCGAGACTCGTTCTCAGGGTCAGCCAAATTAAAAAAAAAAAAATTCTTATGAAAAGATAGAGAATCTTTTCCCGATCATAATGACACCAAAATTATGAAATTTGATGGAAAACTTATGGAATTATGCTCTCGCGAAGTTAGCGGTCTCGGCGATGTTTACACATCGGTGATTTTGCCCACTTTGAGCCCCCTTTTCGGCCAATTCCACTGCACTAGTCGACAAAAAACATGAATATTTCGCTAGAACTCCATTTTTTCTATCGAATGAGTGCAAGAAACCACTCATTTACCAATTTCAACTATCCAGTACAGTGGTCAGAATTTAGCAATTTTGCCAATTTCACACAAATTTCAAAAGATGCCAATTTCCAAATAGGGTCCAAAATAAACAAGAAAGACATTCCTGGCACTAAAATGACATTTCCTTTGTTCATTAGTCATGTCTCAAGGCCCCTCTTACATTCTTTTGCTTTCCACTTTGAATTTTTATTCTCACAAAAAATAAAGATTTACTGTTATGCAGACTACTGCATTAGTGTAAAAAATGGTATAAATAATATTGGCGCACTTGAAAAAGAATATTAGACTCGCCAGTTGACGTGTATTGGACGCTTGGCATGATTTGTTTACTTTTGAACTTTGGTAAAAATCGAACATTTCTGCTACTTTGAGCTCAATTTCAAGGTACTTTTCATTGTAAAACCAGTCAAAATCATCTAAATTTCTGTAATATGTCTTCCATTCTATAAAATGAGACCAAGAAAACTAGAATACAACAATAAATACCATACGAAAATACAGTGCAAAGTTGCCGTTTTATTCCAAAAAAAACGGTCAAAGTTTTTTTTTTTTCTCATTATGCACTGTGTGCTGCAAGATTTTTTTTATACTGTGCACACTGACCACATAGACCCATTCTTTCATATGTAGGCCTACCAGCTTTCTCCCACTAGATTTGAGGGCGCTAGAATTTAGGCGTACTAGTACGTCAAAAACCCTGGGTCATAAGCCGTACTAGTACGGCCGAAACCCTCAAAGAGTTAAGAGTGTTGATTAGCAAGTAAGTTTATTCAGGTATACACAAATACAGTTACATAGATTATCATACATGGCAGCATATGTGTAGAGAACCTAGGAAAACCCCAAAAAGTCAAAGTGCCTTATTTCCATACTATTATACGCTCATATATTTCCTTCTTTGCCTCCATGGATAGTGTTCGTTGTCTCCAAAGATACCACAAATGCCCCACCCACCATTTTTCCTTCATCAATTCTATAGTTTACCTCATCCTTCATAAACTCATCCACTGACAAGTCTACTCTCAAACATCTGCCTGTACTGGATTGATAAAGCTCCTGATATGAAAAACATTTCCATGATAAAGTTATCTAACATTGTCAAGGTGCCTCTCTTTATACATAAAACTGTGGAATGAAGACAATGGATTGGATTAAAGAAGTCCATAGTGGGTAATATGTCTCTTAATAAAATATCCAAAGTCTTGCAATATCTTTGTTCCACACTACCAGTAATTCAACCTACATAAAAGACTTCAAACACAAATATAGCATTCCTTACTGATTGTAGCAATAGATTCCTTTGACATATCAAGTATGTCTGAGGAGAGACCATGCTCTTGCAACTGTTTGGGGAGGAGATGCAACTGTCCAATCATCACTTTCTCTTCCTAGAGATAACAGTAATAAAAACAAATCAAAATTTTATAAAACTATTTTGAGATATAGTGATGGATCATTTAATCTCTCACAATATAGACAATATTATTATTTGCTGGGAACAAGGGACTAGTTACCCCTTCTCATGTATATATTACTACATGTAAACTACATCTGAGTGCCTCTACAAAGACAATGATTATGTATGAGTGATGGTGAAGTGTTGAATGATAAAAGTTTTTTCTTTCTTTTTGGGTTTTTCTTTCTTTCTGGGTCACCCTGCCTCTTTGGGAAGAGGCTGATGTGTTAAAAAAAAAATGTAAAAAGAAAAACTTTAGTTTTCTTTGGTGGGAGACGGCCGGTGTGTTGAAAAAAAATTAACATTTTTTTTTTTGTTTAACACACTGGCTGTCTCTCATTGAGGTAGGGTGACCCAAAAAAGAAAACACCTTCACTGTCAATCACTCCATCACTGTCTTGCCAAAGATGTGCTGGTATTATTATTATTATTAATTTTGCTTTAGGCTTAAATGAAATGCTCAGTACACAGGCAACTGTATTGTACTGGATCCCAGTTTTTACACATCATAGCAAAAATCCACCTTTCTCTTCTAAATTCTTGGGGAACTTGTGGAATGCTAGATTTGGCTTATTACTGAGTTACTACACCCTACAGCACAACTACCAATAACTATTGTAAGAGGCTTACAAGATTAAGAAAAATCTCAAAACAAGCTTGGTATGCAATGAGTGACTCAGTGCAGCTTGACACTCTGGCATCACATGAAAAAAAAATAATACTGGTTGTCAGTACAATTATATCTACAGCAGTTATTCTTCTTCCAACATCTTCCTGTAATACCCTATTTTAATAAAGGGTTTATTTTTATTTATAATTACTGAACGTTAACCAGAATATTTACCTGTGTATAACCTGGAACATGAATGACCTCCATACGATCAAGTAAAGGTGTTGCAATTGTAGAAAGGGAATTAGCAGTAGCAACAAAGAGCACCTGTGAATAAATATGGAAATAGAATATAAAATGGATTTTATGCATTTTTTTAAACATGTATAAAATAAAACAAAAGCACATGACAATAACAATTATGTGAAATTAACAGCAAATGCTGAGTTCATTATTAAATGTAAGGTCATAGTCACATGCAAGAAAGAAACTGCAATTGGCATGGTTGGAAACAGTACGACAATACTGACAATTATGGAAAAGGATACTTGTGTACATAAGTGTCCTTTCCCTCTGCAATCAGAATGATATACAGTGGTACCTTGAATTTCAAATAGCTGCCAACTCAAACAATTATGTAAGTGTATTTTTGTAAGTGCTTATGTAAGTGTATTTTTGGGGGTCTGAAACAGACTAATCTAATTTACATTATTCCTTATGGGAACAAATTCGTTCAGTAACGGCACTCGAACAGCCTTCTGGAACAAATTATGGCCGAAATTCGAGCTACCACTGTACAATGGTCCCTCGAGTTACGATGGTTTCAAGTTATGACTGACCCTCATAAAGGAATTTAGCTTTGAGTTGCGATGAAAAATTTGAGATACATTAATACACCTGCATTAATTTTCATAATTTACCACAAAAAATCATAAGGAAGCAATAAACTTGTAGGGGCTCTGACAGCATTTGGGAAAGGGAAGTTCATCAGATCTGATCCATGAAAGGGTAGGATAGCTCAAATTCCTCGAATTAAAAGCCATTCATTAGCATCAAGGCCCTTTATCCCTTGAAGGGCTCTAATTTACCAAGACATTCACCTAAAACTATAAATTCATAACTCACAGGTTGCAGCTTAGAAAAAATCTTCATACTTGTATTGCATGTAAAGTAATGATTACTTTTGTTCAATCACTAAAACATATAAATATATATGGAATATAAAATATTTTCAATATTGTATTATGCAATAAAGTGCAAAATACATATACAAACTTAAAAGTACTGAAAGTAAATTACATGTACATTACAATACCTTGGTTAGTGGCATATAAAGAAAGATGAAAATGTAATAGTAGCACAATATAAAATTTTTAAAATATAAAACCAGGAGGAATAACATGTTGTAGGGGTGAGGAAGAGCCAGTTGTGAGTGTGGGGGAAGTTTGTGAGGCAGTGGGTAGAATGAAAGGGAAGTAAGACAGCTGGGATTAATGGGATAAAGACAGAAATGTTAAAAGAAGGTGGGGATATAGTTTTGGAGTGGTTAGTGCTATTATTTAACCCTTTGAGGGTTTTCGTCGTACTAGTACGTCTTACGCGTAGGGGTTTTTGACGTACTAGTACTCATAAATTCTAGCGGCCTCAAATCTAGTGGGAGAAAGCTGGTAGGCCTTCATATGAAAGAATGGGTCTATGTGGTCAGTGTGCACAGTATAAAAAAAATCCTGCAGCACACAGTGCATAATGAGAAAAAAAAAACTTTGACCATTTTTTTTAATAAATCAGCGACTTTGCAGTGTATTTTCGTATGGTATTTATTGTTGTATTCTAGTTTTCTTGGTCTCATTTTATAGAATGGAAGACATATTACAGAAATTAAGATGATTTTGACTGGTTTTACAAAGAAAGGTGCCTTGAAATTGAGCTCAAAGTAGCAGAAATGTTCGATTTTTACCAAACTTCAAAAGTAAACAAATCGTGCCAAGCGTGCAATACACGTCAACTGGTGAGTCTAATATTCTTTCACAAGTGCACAATAATATTTATACCATTTTTTACACTAATGCAGTAGTCTGCATAACAGTAAATCTTATATTTTTTGTGAAAATAAAAATTCAAAGTGGAAAGCAAAAGAATATAAGAGGGGCCTTGAGACATGACTAATGACTAGAGGAAATGTCATTTTAGTGCCAGGAATGTCTTTCTTGTTTATTCTGGACCCTATTCGGAAATTGGCATCTTTTGAAATTTGTGTGAAATTGGCAAAATTGCTAAATTCTGACCACTGTACTGGATAGTAGAATTTCATAAATGAGTGGTTTCTTGCACCCATTCGATAGAAAAAATGGAGTTCTATCGAAATATTCATGTTTTTTGTCGACTAGTACAGTGAAATTGGCCGAAAATGGGGCTCAAAGTGGGCAAAATCGCCGATGCGTAAACATCGCCGAGACCGCTAACTTTGCGAGAGCATAATTCCGTAAGTTTTCTATCAAATTTCAAACTTTTGGTGTCTTTATGATCGGGAAAAGATTCTCTATCTTTTCATAAGAGAAAATAATTTTTTTTTTTTTTTAAATTTGGCCGACCCTGAGAACGAGTTTCGGAGAGGGCCTGTCGACCCTCAAAGGGTTAATAAATGTATGGAAGAGTGAGTTAAACAAGTTAAGAAAGCCTAGGGAACAAATGGATTTATCAGTTAAAAACAGAGTAGGGGAGTTAGTAGATGGGGAGATGGAGGTTTTGGGTAGATGGCGAGAATATTTTGAGGAACTTTTAAATGTTGACGAAGAAAGGGAGGCGGTAATTTCATGCACTGGCCAGGGAGGTATATCATCTTTCAGGAGTGAAGAAGAGCAGGATGTGAGTGTGGGGGAGGTGCGTGAGGCATTACGTAGAATGAAAGGGGGTAAAGCAGCTGGAACTGACGGGATCATGACAGAAATGTTAAAAGCAGGGGGGGACATAGTGTTGGAGTGGTTGGTATTTTTGTTGAATAAATGTATGAAAGAGGGGAAGGTACCTAGGGATTGGCAGAGAGCGTGTATAGTCCCTTTATATAAAAGGAAGGGGGACAAAAGAGATTGTAAAAATTATAGAGGAATAAGTTTACTGAGTATACCAGGAAAAGTGTATGGCAGGGTTATTATTGAAAGAATTAGAGGTAAGACAGAATGTAGAATTGCAGATGAGCAAGGAGGTTTTAGAGTGGGTAGGGGATGTGTAGATCAAGTGTTTACATTGAAGCATATATGTGAGCAGTATTCAGATAAAGGTAGGGAAGTTTTTATTGCATTTATGGATTTAGAAAAGGCATATGATAGAGTGGATAGGGGAGCAATGTGGCAGATGTTGCAAGTATATGGAATAGGTGGTAAGTTACTAAATGCTGTAAAGAGTTTTTATGGGGATAGTGAGGCTCAGGTTAGGGTGTGTAGAAGAGAAGGAGACTACTTCCCGGTAAAAGTAGGTCTTAGACAGGGATGTGTAATGTCACCATGGTTGTTTAATATATTTATAGATGGGGTTGTAAAAGAAGTAAATGCTAGGGTGTTTGGGAGAGGGGTGGGATTAAATTTTGGGGAATTAAATACAAAATGGGAAGTGACACACTTACTTTTTGCTGATGATACTGTGCTTATGGGAGATTCTAAAGAAAAATTGCAAAGGTTAGTGGACGAGTTTGGGAGGGTGTGTAAAGGTAGAAAGTTGAAAGTGAACATAGAAAAGAGTAAGGTGATGAGAGTATCAAATCATTTAGATAAAGAAAAATTGGATATCAAATTGGTGAGGAGGAATATGGAAGAAGTGAATGTTTTCAGATATTTGAGAGTTGACATGTCAGCAGATGGATTTATGAAGGATGAGGTTAATCATAGAATTGATGAAGGAAAAAAGGTGAGTGGTGCATTGAGGTATATGTGGAGACAAAAAATGTTATCTATGCAGGCAAAGAAGGGAATGTATGAAAGTATGGTAGTACCAACACTCTTATATGGGTGTGAAGCTTGGGTTGTAAATGCTGCAGCAAGGAGGTGGTTGGAGGCAGTGGAGATGTCCTGTCTAAGAGCAATGTGTGGTGTAAATATTACGCAGAAAATTCGGAGTGTGGAAATTAGGAGAAGGTGTGGAGTTAATAAAAGTATTAGTCAGAGGGCTGAAGAGGGTTTGTTGAGGTGGTTTGGTCATTTAGAGAGAATGGATCAAAGTAGACTGACATGGAGAGCGTATAAATCTGTAGGGGAAGGAAGGAGGGGTAGGGGTTGTCCTCAAAAAGGTTGGAGGGAAGGGGTAAAGGAGGTATTGTGGGCGAGGGATTTGGACTTCCAGCAAGCGTGCGTGAGCGTGTTAGATAGAAGTGAATGGAGACAAATGGTATTTGGGACCTGACGATCTGTTGGAGTGTGAGCAGGGTAATATTTAGTGAAGGGATTCAAGGAAACCGGTTATTTTATATAACCGGACTTGAGTCCTGGAAATGGGAAGTACAATGCCTGCACTCTAAAGGAGGGATATGGGATATTGGCAGTTTGGAGAGATATATTGTGTATTTTTATATGTATATACTTCTAAAATATGTAGTAGGTTGGTAGACAGCAACCGCCCAGGGAGGTACTACCGTCCTGCCAAGTGAGTGTAAAACGAAAGCCTGTAATTGTTTTACATGATGGTAGGATTGCTGGTGTCCTTTTTTCTGTCTCATGAACATGCAAGATTTCAGGTACGTCTTGCTACTTCTACTTACACTTAGGTCACACTACACATACATGTACAAGCACATATATACACACCCCTCTGGGTTTTCTTCTATTTTCTTTCTAGTTCTTATTCTTGTTTATTTCCTCTTATCTCCATGGGGAAGTGGAACAGAATTCTTCCTCCGTAAGCCATGCGTGTTGTAAGAGGCGACTAAAATGCCGGGAGCAAGGGGCTAGTAACCTCTTCTCCTGTATATATTACTAAATGTGAAAGGAGAAACTTTTGTTTTTCCTTTTGGGCCACCCCGCCTCGGTGGGATACGGCTGGTGTGTTGAAAGAAAGAAAAGATATACTTCTAAACTGTTGTATTCTGGGCACCTCTGCAAAAACAGTGATTATGTGTGAGTGAGGTGAAAGTGTTGAATGATGATGAAAGTATTTTCTTTTTGGGGATTTTCTTTCTCTTTGGGTCACCCTGCCTCGGTGGGAGACTGCCGACTTGTTGAAAAAAAAAATGGAAGAGGGTAAGGTACCTAGGGATTGGCAGAGAGTATGTATAGTTCCTGTGTATAAAAGCAAAGGGGACAAAAGAGAGTGCAAAAACTATAGGAATTATAGGAGGAAGTTAGGGTGAGATACAAGTAACTATTGGCAGAAAGGTGGGCTAGTGCAAGTATGAGTAGTGGAGGGTTGAAGAGGGTTAGAATAGTTTTAAAAATGCAGTATTAGAATCTGGGAGAGAAGTTTGTGGCTATAGGAGGGTGGGTGCAGGAGGAAAGAGGAGCAAGTGGTGGAATGATGAAGTAAAGGGTGTGATAAAAGAGAAAAGAGGTAGCTTACAAGAGGTTTTTACAAAGCATAAGTGTTATAAGAAGAGCAGAGTTTATGGAGAGTAAAAGAAAGGTGAAGAGAGTGTTGAGAGAGTGTAAAAAGAGAGCAGATGACAGAGTGGGAGAGGCACTGTTAAGAAGTTTTGCTGAAAATAAGAAAAAAATTTGGAGTGAGATAAACAAGTTAAGAAAGTCCAAGAAACGAATGGATTTGTCGGTTAAAAACAGAGTGGGGGAGTTAGTAGATGGGGAGCTGGAGGTATTGGGTAGATGGAGGAAATATTTTGAGGAACTTTCAAATGCCGATGAAGTAAGGGAGGCAGTAATTTCATGCACTGGTCAGGGAGGTACAACATCTTTTAGGAGTGGAGAAGAGCAGGATGTGAGTGTGAGGGAGGTGCATGAAGCATTACTTAGAATGAAAGGGGGTAAAGCAGCTGGAACTGACAGGATTATGACAGAAATGTTAAAAGCAAGGGGGTGGGCTATAGTGTTGGAGTGGTTGGTATTTTTGTTTAATAAATGTATGAAAGACGGGGAAGGTACCTAGGGATTGGCAGAGAGCTTGTATAGTTCCTTTATATAAAGGGAAAGGGGACAAAAGAGATTGTAAAAATTCTAGGAGAATAAGTTTACCGAGTATACCAGGAAAAGTATACAGTAGGGTTATTACTAAAAAAATTAGAGGTAGGACAGTAGGATTTCAGAGAAGCAAGGAGGCTTTAGAGTGGGTAGGGGATGTGTAGATCAAGCATTTACATTGAAGCATATATGTGAACAGTATTCAGAAAAAGGTAGGGAAGTTTTCATTGCATTCATGGCTTTAGAAAAGGCACATGATAGAGTGGATAGGGGAACAATGTGGCAGATGTTGCAAGTATGTATATGGAATAGGTAGTAAGTTACTAAATGCTATAAAGAGCTTTTATGAGGATAGTGAGGCTCGGGTTAGAGTGTGGAGAAGAGAAGGAGATTACTTCCCAGTAAAAATAGGTCTTAAGACAGGGATGTGTAATGTCACCATGGTTGTTTAATATATTTATATATGGGGTTGTAAAAGAAGTAAGTGGTAGGGTGTTGTGGAGAGGGGTGAGATTAAATTATGGGGAATCAAATACAAAATGGGAGTTGACACAGTTACTATTTGCTGATGATGCTGTGCATATGGGAGATTCTAAGGAAAAGTTGCAAAGGTTAGCGGACGTGTTTGGGAGGGTGTGTAAAGGTAGAAAGTTGAAAGTGAACATAGATAAGAGTAAGGTGATGAGGATATCAAATGATTTAGATAAAGAAAAATTGGATATCACATTGGAGAGAGGAAGTATGCAAGAAGTGAATGTTTTCAGATATTTGGGAGCTGACGTATCAGCGGATGGGTTTATGAAGGATGAGGTTAACCATAGAACTGATGAAGGAAAAAGGGTGAGTGGTGTGTTGAGGTACATGTGGAGAAAAAAAAAAAACGTTATCTACGGAGGCAAAGAAGGGAATGTATGAAAATATAATGGTACCAACTCTCTTATATGGTTGTGAAGCTTGGGTTGTAAATGCTGCAGCGAGGAGATGACTGGAGGCAGTGGAGATGTCCTGTCTAAGGGCAATGTGTGGTGTAAATATGATGCAGAAAATTCGGAGTGTGGAAATTAGGAAAAGGTGTGGAGTTAGTAAAAGAATTAGTCAGAGGGCTGAAGAGGGGTTGTTGAGGTGGTTTGGTCATTTAGAGAGAATGGATCAAAGTAGAATGACATGGAGAGCGTATAAATCTGTAGGGCAAGGAAGGCAGGGTAGGGGTCGTCCTCAAAAAGGTTGGAGGGATTGGATAAAGGAGGTTTTGTGGGCGAGGGGCTTGGACTTCCAGCATGCGTGCGTGAGCACATTAGATAGGAGTGAATGGAGATGAATGGTTTTTGGGACCTGACAAGCATTGGAGTGTGAGCAGGGTAATATTTAGTGAAGGGATTCAGGGAAACCGGTTATTGTTATATAGCCGGACTTGAGTACTGGAAATAGGAAGTACAATGCCTGCACTTTAAAGGAGGGGTTTGGAATATTGGCAGTTTGAAGGGATATGTTGTATATCTTTATATATGCTTCTAAACTGCTGTATCTGGGTGCCTCTGCAAAAACAGTAATTATGTATGAGTGAGGTGAAAATGTTGAATGATGAAAGTATTTTCTTTTTGTGGATTTTCTTTTTTGGGTCACCCTGCCTCGGTGGGATACGGCCGACTTTTTGGAAAAAAAAAAAAAAAAAAAGGCAGCTGTTGAGTATACCCGGTAAAGTGTATGGTAGAGTTATTATTGAAAGAATTAAGAGTAAGACGGAGAATAGGATAGATGAAAAAGGAGGCTTTAGGAAAAGTAGGGGGTGTGTAGACCAAGTGTTTACATTGAAACATAGGTGAACTGTACTTAGATAAGGCTAGAGATTTTTGTGGCATTTATGGATTTGGAAAAGGCATATGACAGGGTGGATAGGGAAGAAATGTGGCACATGTTGCAAGTGTATGGTATAGGATACAGGTTACTGAAAGCAGTGAGAGTTTTTACAAGGATAGTGAGGCTCAGGTTAGAGTATGTAGGAGAGAGGGAGATTATTTCCCAGTAAAAGTAGGCCTTAGACAAGGATGTGTGATGTCACCATGCTTGTTCAATACATTCACTTCTCTCACAACTCTATCGAGGAGTTGTGAGAGAAGTGAATGAGTGTGTCTTGACAAGAGGAGTGGAGTTAAAAGATAAAGAATCAAACACAAAGTGGGAGTTGTCACGGTTGCTCTTTGCTGATGACTCTGTGCTTTTGGGAGATTCTGAAGAGAAATTGCAGAGGTTGGTGGATGAAAATTAAAAGTGAATATAGGAAAGAGTACGTTGATGAGGATAAAAGGATTAGGTGACAAAAGATTGGATATCAGATTGGAGGGAGAGAGTATGGAGGAGGTGAATGTATTCAAATATTTGGGAGTGGACATGTCAGCAGAGGGGTCTATGAAGGATGAGGTGAATCATAGAACTGATGAGGGGAAAAGGGCGAGTGGTGCACTAAGGAGTCTGTATGAGAGTATAGTTATACCAACACTCTTATACGAGTGTGAAGCATGGGTGATGAATGTTGCAATGAGAAGGCTGGAGGCAGTGGAGATGTCATGTCTGAGGGCATGTGTGGTGTGAATATAATGCAGAGAATTCATAGTTTGGAAATTAGGAGGAGGTGCGAGATTACCAAAACTATTATCCAGAGGGCTGAGGAGGAGTTGTTGAGGTGGTTCAGACATGTAGAGAGAATGAAACGAAACAGAATGACTTAGAGTGTATAAATCTGTAGTGGAGGGAAGGTGGGTAAGTGTCGACCTAGGAAAGGTTGGAGGGAAGGGGTAAAGGATGTTTTGTGTCAAGGGGCTTGGACTTCCAGCAAGCATGCGCGAGCGTATTTGATGGGGGTGGATGGAGACAAATGGTTTTTAATACATGACGTGCTATTGGAGTGTGAGCAAAGTAACATTTATGAAGGGATTCAGGGAAACCGGCAGGCCGAACTGGAGTCCTGGAGATGGGAAGTACAGTGTCTGCCCTCTGAAGGAGGGGTGTTAATGTTGCAGTTTTATAACTGTAGTGTAAAGCACCCCTCTGGCAAGACAATGGAGTGAATGATGATGCAAGTTTTTCTCTTTTAAGCCACCCTGCCTTAGTGGTAATCGGCCGATTTGTTATTATAAAAAAATAAAAAAAAAACAGTAACTGATAAAAATTGATAAGGAAAGCACTGGTGCTATTTAAATGTTTGCAGAAAGATATGTACTTATACATAACAATATTTATTACCTGTGATAAATCAAATGGCAGATTGAGATAAGTATCTGTGAAGGTAGAATTTTGTTCAGGATCCAACACCTCAAGTAAGGCAGCTCCAGGGTCACCATGGATACCTGTACCCAACTTGTCTATTTCATCCAACAACATCACTGGATTTTTAACCTGTATATGAAAAGCACTGGTAAAATTCATATATATATATTAAATAATTTTATCTACACAAATTAACAAAATAGTTAGATTAAGGCAATTAAGGGATGTACTTCCTGCATTTCATTTTAGAATGACTTGCATAAGCTCTCTACAAGGGATGTAATAAGAACACGAGGAAAAGGCTGGAAACTGCATCCTTATACGAGACACAGGGCTGTCAGGAAATATTTCTTTAATACAAGACTGACATAAAGATGAATGACCTTAACAATGACAGTAAAGCTAACTACACACAGGGGTTCAAAAGTAGATATGATAAGAGTTATTTCACATCAAAGTTAGTGCTTAATCCCTACAAATTCAAATAAGTAACTAGGTCAGTAGACAGCAACCATTCAGGGAGGTACAGTGGTACCTTGACTTATGAGTGCCCCAATTTATGAGTTTTCCTAGTTACGAGCCATTGCTTGGTCAATGTTTTGCTTCGAGTTGCAAGCCAAAATCTGAGTTATGAGCTAGCTTCAGATACGCCGCCACTAACTGGCGGTATATCTGAAGTCAAATCCAACTCTGTACCCAGAGGAATGTCAGGTACTTCATCCTATTCCACATGATCTTCCAAGACATAACTGGAAGGATAATATTCCCACACTAATCCCAGATTGTAGTGAGGCACCTCGTCCCTTGTTTGGTTCTTGTATAAATCCGAGGAAGAGGTAACCTCCATTTCAACACTCAGAGTTCTCCAGAAACATTAATTAAGGTGGGTGGACTCCTGATAGTGGTGGGTGGAATAGTCATTGTGGTCAGTGGAGCAGTGATAGTGGTGGGTGGAGTAGTGATGGTGGTGGGTGGAGTAGTGATAGTGGTGGGTAGAGAAGTGATAGTGGTGGGGGGAGTAGTGATAGGTGGGGGGAGTAGTGATAGTGGTGGGTGGAGCAGTGATGTGGTGGGTGGAGTAGTGATGGTGGTGGGTGGGAGTAGCAATGGTGGTGGGTGGAGTAGTGATGGTGGTGGGTGGAGTAGTATGGTGGTGGGTGGAGTAGTGATGGTGGTGGGTGGAGTAGTGATGGTGGTGGGTGGAGTAGTGATGGTGGTGGGTGGAGTAGTGATGGTGGTGGGTGGAGTAGTGATGGTGGTGGGTGGAGTAGTGATGGTGGTGGGTGGAGTAGTGATGGTGGTGGGTGGAGTAGTGATAGTGGTGGGTGGAGTAGTGATAGTGGTGGGTGGAGTAGTGATAGTGGTGGGTGGAGTAGTGATAGTGGTGGGTGGAGTAGTGATAGTGGTGGGTACAGTACTGACAGTGGTGGGTGGAATGACTAATAGTGGTGGGTGGAGTAGTGATGGTGGTGTGTGGAGTATACAATATTTCTTATTTATAAATACTACATACATTTTTCTTATTTAAAAATCCGTAACAAAAAAATTGGGGTGGTTTTTTTGGGGCTGGAATGGATTAATGGCATTTCAATTTATTTCAGTGAGGAAAATTAATTTGATATACGAGTAAATTGAGTTACAAGTTCCGTCACAGAACAAATTAAAGTCGTAAGTTAAGGTACCACTGTACTATGGTCTTAACCCTTTCAGGGTCCAAGGCCCAAATCTGGAGTCACGCACCAGTGTCCAAGATATTTCAAAAAAAATATTTGTTATTTTTTCTTATGAAATCGTAGAGAATCTTTTTGTGAAGGTAATAAAACAAAAAGTACGAAAATTGGTGGAAAATTGACGAAATTATGCTCTCGCGAATTTTGATGTGTCAGCGATATTTACGAATCGGCAATTTTGCCGACTTTGACTCCCATTTTAGGCCAATTACATTATTCCAATCAACCAAATTCTTAGCTATTTCACTAGTATTACTTCTATTCTATTGATTGAGCACAAGAAATCGCCAAGTCAACTGTTTCAACTACAAAATAAAGTGATCGGAAATTGTTAATTTGGCCAATTTAACACAAAGTTCAAAATATTCCAATTTCAAAATAGGGTCCAGAATGAACAATGTAGGCATTCCTGGCACTAAACTAACATTTCCTCTGTTCATTAGTTATGTTTTGAGGCTTTACAAATAAATTCCATTTTGATTTTTTATTCACATAATGAATTTTTATTCACACCAAAAAATAGAAGATTTACTGTTATGCAATACTGTAATAATTGTATAAATATCATCATCATATTTGTGAATGTATATTAGACCCACCAGCTGATGTGTATTAGACGTGTGAGGTCGTTTGTTTACTCTTGAATATCGGCAAAAATTTAACATTTCCGCTACTTTGAGCTCAGTTTCAAGCCATTTCCAATGCTAAAACCAATCAAAATCATCTCTATTTCTGTAATATGTCTTCCATTCTATCAAATGAGACCAAGAAATCGCAAATACAACTATAAAAAACATATGAAAAAACACTGCAAAGTTGCTGTTTTAATCGAAAAATCATGATTTCATTTTTTTTCTCTCATTATGCACAGTGTGCTGCAGGATCTGTTTTATGTGGTGCACACATACCACATAGATGTATTCTCTCATATCTAGGCCCAAATGTACCACTCACAGTTTATCAGAGTGAGCTGAGCTCATGGCGTAGATCTACGGTTTGGACCCTGAACGTAAAGCCGTAGATCTACGGGACGGACCCTGAAAGGGTTAACAAGTGAGTGTAAAAAGGAAGTCTGTATTTGTTTTACATGATGGTAGGATTGCTGGTGTCTTTTTTCTGTCTCATAAAGATGCAAGATTTCAGGTACATCTTGCTACCTCTACTTACACTTCGGTCACATTACACATACATGTACACATTTATGAATACACACTCATCGGAGTTTTCTTTGGTTTTATCTTAATAGTTCTAGTTCTTATTGTTTTTCCTTTCATATCCATGGGGAAGTGGAATAAAAATCTTTCCTCTGTAAGCCATGTGTGTTGTAGAAGTCAACTAAAATGCCGGGAATAATAGGCTGGTAATCCCTTTTCCCGTATAGTTTACTAAAAAGAAAAAGAAGAAAACCGTCAAAGTGGGATGTTTGAATGTGTGTGGATGTTGTGCGAATGATAAGAAAGAGATGATTGTGGATGTTATGAATGAGAAGAAAAACAGGGATGTGTAATGTCACCATGGTTGTTTAATATATTTATAGATGGGGTTGTAAAAGAAGTAAATGCTAGGGTGTTGGGGAGAGGGGTGGGATTAAATTATGGGGAATCAAATACAAAATGAGAGTTGACACAGTTACTATTTGCTGATGATACTGTGTTTATGGGAGATTCTAAAGAAAAGTCGCAAAGGTTAATGGATGAGTTTCGGAGGCTGTGTAAAGGTAGAAAGATGAAAGTGAACATAGATAAGAGTAAGGTGATGAGGGTATCAAACGATTTAGACAAAGAAAAATTGGATATCAAATTGGAGAGAGGGAGTATGGAAGAAGTGAACATTTTCAGATATTTGGGAGTTGACTTGTCAGCAGATGGATTTGTGAAGGATGAGGTTAACCACAAAATTGGTGAAGAAAAAAAGGTGAGTGGTGCATTGAGGTATCTGTGGAGACAAAAAGTGTTATCCATGGAGGCAAAGAAGGGAATGTATGAAAGTATAGTGATACCAACGCTTTTATATGGGTGTGAAGTTTGGGTTGCAAATGTTGCAGCAAGGAGGCAGCTGGAGGCAGTGGAGATGTCCTGTCTAAGGGCAATGTGTGGCATAAATATTATGCAGAGAATTCAGATTGTGGAAATTAGGAGGAGGTGTGGAGTCACTAAAAGTATTAGTCAGAGGGCTGAAGAGGGATTGTTGAGGTGGTTTGGTCATTTAGAGAGAATGGATCAAAGTAGAATGACTTGGAGAGCATGTAAATCTGTAGGGAAATGAAGGTAGGGTAGAGGATGTCCTCGAAAAGGTTGGAGGGAGGGGGTAAAGATGGTTTTGTGGGCGAGGGGGCTTGAACTTCCAGCAAGCATGTGTGAGCATGTTTGACATGAGTGAATGGAGACAAATGGGTTTTTGGGACCTGACAAGCTGTTGGAGTGTGAGAAGGGTAATATCTTGTGAAGGGATTCAGGGAAACCAGTTAGCCAGACTCGAGTCCTGGAAATGGGAAGTACAATGCCTGTACTTTAAAGGAGGGGTTTATAATAATTACACTCTGGAGGGACTTCTAAACTGTCGTACCTGAGCACCTCTGCTAAGACAGTGATTATGTATGAATGAGGTGAAAATGTTGGGATTTTTTTTTACTTTCTGGGTCATCCTCCCTCGGTGGGAGACAATCGACGTGTTGGGGGGGAAGACCAACTTCTCTGAGGCTATAGGTCCCTACAGTGTACAAAGAGAAACCTTACTAGTGCAGTGACCCCTCTCATTAATGAGCTTACAGGGGTAGGGATATATGATGTTAACTGTCTGAAACTTCCAAATTATAAAATTAATTTTTCATGAGTGTCTGGTTGTCTTCTGAACTAGTAAACTTGGCCTGCTAATGTATAAGATAACCCAGACACAAAGAATGAAGGTATTGTAACCTGTAGCACTACAGTATAGTCTAGCATCTACACTAAACTTTAGAAGATACAGGATACCAGAAGATGCCAAAGATGAATGTGCATGTAACAGTCAGAAATATAGTGCAGTCTTATTAGATACACAAAGGATGGATGCTAGTACTGTAAGGTGACTTTTGACCTTACAAAATGAGAAAAACAGGAGAGTAAACACAAGATATATTCTAAAATGGTATGAAAGAAATGAAGCAGGCTACAATAGAATGTTAGAGAGAGCTTGTTATAAACTGGTCTGTTGTATCTAATTAAAAAAACAAAGGAATGTCAGAGATATTAGATACAGTACATAAGTTGATAAAATTTCTTAAGAAACTAGCCATATCATACATACTTTAACATTTCTCAAGGCCTGGATAACCCTGCCTGGCATAGCACCAATGTAAGTTCGACGATGGCCTCTTATATCATGTTGGTCACTTACTCCACCTGCAAAATACATTTGATAAAAACAAAACAGAAAAGGCTTCACTTTTCTCGATTGACTTGCACCACAAAATACAAATTCACCATTTATGAACTAAAAAACAACACAAACAAAAATGTTAAGAAGAATTAACAAAATTTCACCTACTTTCAGAAACTAGAACATAAGTGAATGAACATATTTAACTATTGCTCCATTCCATTAATAATGATTTTTGAAGTATAAAGCAGAGATGATACTTTGAGGATTATGAAGATGACCAAGGCCATTCTTCACTTCCCCCACTCCCTCAATGAGCCACAAACTGTGATCAAAGTGTTTTATAAGCCATTTCTTTAAAAAACACTAATTTCTTTAATGCTGACAATACAGGAAAGCCCCGCATTTCGGTGTCCCTCTTTGTTAGCATTCTGCTATTCTGGTGGTTTTCAACTGAGTCACTGTTCATTATCTTTGGTGCTTCCCCCCCCCCCCCTCAAATTTGTGACAAAAAACATTCCTTGACCAAAATTGGCAAATAAAAAATAGCATTTTATTTATAAAACAAGTTTAGATCTCAATCCATAAATAATTTATATGGGTACATAAACATCAGGAAATTAAAAGCCAAATTAGAAAGTACGTACAAGGGCCTCACCTAATGACATTCGGCAATATGGACGACCTAGAGTAGTTGCAATGGACTTTGCAATGCTGGTTTTGCCAACTCCAGGGGGACCAACAAAACACAAAATTGGCCCCTTCAGATCTCCACGAAGTTGTCTCACTGCTAGATATTCTAACACTCTACGCTTCACCTGGAAAATGTACATTTATAATAAGTTTTTTATAATGTAGAATTTTACTCACAATGCAGTGAATATTGTATCAGTCTGTAAAAGAGCTAAATCTTAGGTAAACTGTATTTGGAATTCAGTTAGAAAAAGTCATAATTATTACTATTTCTAAAATTCTTTACCAAAAAATATGAGCTCACTACACATGCATAAAATCAGCATATAAACAGAGGAAGCAAGCTTTACATACCTTTTGTAAGCCATAATGATCTGCATCCAAGTCTTCTCGTGCTTTGCGTATGTTGCAGGTCTCTTTTACAGTAATGGACCAAGGAAGCTCTACTATTAAGTCAAGGTAATTACGTGTCATCGAGTAATCTGGCATATGTTGTGCCATTCGTTTCAGTCGTCCAAGTTCCTTCACAGCTGCCTGGGGCAACAGGTCAAAGCTAACTATTTGAAGCAGAAAATTATAACAAGTAAATTACCTTGTATACAGTATTTAGTAAATTTGTCAGTAGGGCTACTGAATTCCTATGTAATATACAGTGGAACCTCAAATTTTGACTGTATCGCTTATCGAACTCTTCACCTTTCAACCGCTTTTTTCGAACCAACTTTGTCCCTATTATCGAACTCGCCCCTTCTTTCAAACCGCCGAGTACCGAACCTGTCTGCCAGCCCACTCTGTCCGTGTCCCCGCGCAGGCACCGTGAGCCAGTCTGGCTTTGTTGATACTTGAGTGAACACTAACCTGCGGTCTCATTCAAGCATTTTATGATTAATTCATTGTGTTTAGTGCTTGTGGGACTGTGAAATAAGCTACCATGGGCCCAAAGAAACTTGCTAGTGGTACCCCTGTGGTAAAGAAAGTGAGAAACACCACAGATGTGAAGAAGGAAATAATAAAGAAGTACAAGAGTGGTGTGCGACTTGTTGAGCTTGCCAGGATGTACGGGAAAAACAAGTCGACCATCACTTCTATCCTGGCAAAGAAAGAACAAATCAAGGAAGCTGATGTTGCGAAAGGTGTTGATATGCTAACTAAAAAAAGACCACAGACAATCGATCAGATTGAGAAGTTGTTGCTGGTGTGGATCAAGGATAAAGAGATGGCAGGTGATAGTGTTTCAGAGACAATTATTTGTGAAAAGGCAAGGAAGTTGCATGCCGATTCAAAGATTAAGGAGATTTGCACCAAGTGGAATGATGTCCAAATGTTTGTGGAGAAGTACCACCCTCAGCAAGCTGAAACAAGCCATCTTTGCAAGAAGTTCAGTGACAGAACCATGTCCCATTTTAGGGAAATCTTAAACAGGCACCAGAAACAGAGGAATGTGAACAGTTATTTTGTGACTCAAGCTGGTCCTAGTGGCATTAAAAGATAGAGAAGAGAAGTAACCCCAGAAAGGGCTTTGATACCTAAAGTCCTTATGAAGGGGGATTTCCCTTCCAAACATTAACCCCAACTCCCTCTCTCCTCCTCCCTATCTTCCAGATGCCATCACCAATCTTCAAGTAAAAATGTTATTTTATATGTTATTTAAATTTATTAATAATTGTACACTATATTTGTCGTGTGTATGTAAAACTATAATGTAATACTATCTATAAAATGTATTTTTTTGTGAATATTTTTGGGTTTTTGGAACGGATTAATTGTATTTCTATTATTTCTTATGGGATATATTTCTTCGCCTTTCAAACTTTTCGACTTTAGAACCAGCTCCTGGAACGGATTAAGTTCGAAATCTGAGGTTCCACTGTACTTGTGTAGTATATCCTAAGTTGTATCATATATATATATATATATATATATACAGTGGACCCCCGCTTAACGATCACCTCCAAATGCGACCAATTATGTAAGTGTATTTATGTAAGTGCGTTTGTACGTGTATGTTTGGGGGTCTGAAATGGACTAATCTACTTCACAATATTCCTTATGGGAAAAAATTCGGTCAGTACTGGCACCTGAACATACTACTGGAATGAAAAAAGTTCGTTAACCGGGGGTCCACTGTATATATTTTTTTTTTTTTTTTTTTATATAGGGAAGTACCACCTCTATAGCTGGAATGGGGACCCTCATCCTCAGAGAAGACAATAAACGTACCTCAGAGAAAACTCAAGGTTCTCCCCGGAGCTGTTTGAATATTTTCTTCTCCTACCACCCCCTATATATTTTTTATTCTATGTGAACATTTATTAATAAACAAAATACATTTACAGAAAAAAGCATAAACATGAATACAATGGCACAATGTATCAAAGATGATGAATTTCCTCCAGCTCCTCCGAGGCTGGACGTGAGCCAAGTATGCAGCAAGCATTTCCCCTCTGGATGGCGACGCTGAGGCGCTGGAACATGAAAGTGGCTCCCCTTTGGGTCCCTGGTGGTGTCGATGAGTCTGGAACCCCCAATTCTTTAAGGAAACGTGCGGCATTTTTTCCCTTGATCCCAAGGTCTCTGATCCCACGGGGGACAAATTGATACTGTTGGCAAATTTAAATAAATAAATAAATAAATAAATAATATTATATATATATATATATATATATATATATATATATTTATATATATATTTTTTTTTTTTTTTTTTTCAACAAGTGGGCCCGCCTCCCACCGAGGCAGGGTGACCCAAAAAGAAAGAAAATCCCCAAAAAAAAAATTATTTTTCATCATCATTCAACACTTTCACCACACTGCACATTTAAATTTTTTTTGCAGAGGTGCTCAGAATACAACAGTCTAGAGCATACACATATAAAGATACACAACTACCCCTCCAAACTGCCAATACCCCAAACCCCCCCTTTTAAAAGTGCAGGCATTGTACTTCCCATTTCCAGGACTCCAAGTCCGACTCTATGAAATAACCGGGTTTTCCCCTGAATCCCTTCACTAAATATTACCCTGCTCACACTCCAACAGATCGTCAGGTCCCAAGTACCATTCGTCTCCATTCACTCCTATCTAACACGCTCACGCACGCTTGCTGGAAGTCCAAGCCCCTTACCCACAAAACCTCCTTTACCCCCTCTCTCCAACCCTTTCGAGGACGACCCCTACCCGCCTTCCTTCCCCTATAGATTTATATGTTTTCCCATGTCATTCTATTTTGATCCATTCTCTCTAAATGCCCAAAAACCACTCAACAACCCCCTCTTCTGCCCTCTGACTAATACTTTTATTAACTCCACACCTTCTCCTAATTTCCACACCCCGAATTTTCTGCATAATATTTACACCACACATTGCCCTTAAACAGGACATCTCCACTGCCCCCAACCGTCTCCTCGCTGCTGCATTTACCAAACCCAAACTTCAAAATCATATAAGAGTGTTGGTACTACTATACTTTCATACATTCCTTCTTTGCCTCCATAGATAACGTTTTTTTACTCCACATATACCTCAACGCACCACTCACTTTTTTCCCTCATCAATTCTATGATTAACCTCATCCTTCATAAATCCATCCGCCGACACGTCAACTCCCAAGTATCTGGGAAAAAATTCACTTCTTCCATACTCCTCCCCCAATTTGATATCCAATTTTTCTTTATCTAAATTCATTTGACACCCTCATACCTTACTCTTTTCTATGTTCACTTTCAACTTTTACCCTTTTCACACATTCCCAAACTCATCCACTAACCTTTGCAATTTTTCTTTAGAATCTCCCATAAGCACAGTATCATCAGCAAAAGTAACTGTGTCAATTCCCATTTTGAATTTGATTCCCCATAATTTAATCCCACCCCTCTCCCAAACCCTAGCATTTACTTCCTTAACAACCCCATCTATAAATATATTAAACAACCATGGTGACATTACACATCCCTGTCTAAGACCTACTTTTACAGGGAAGTAGTCTCCCTCTCTTCTACACACCCTAACCTGAGCCTCACTATCCTCATAAAAAACTCTTTACAGATTTAATAACTTACCACCTATTCCTTTTACTTGCAAAAATCTGCCACATTGCTCCTCTATCCACTCTATCATATGCCTTTTCTAAAATCCATAAATGCAATAAAAACTTCCTATCTTTATCTAAATACTGTTCACATATATGTTCAATGAAAACACCTGATCTACACATCCCCTACCACTCTAAAACCTCCTTGCTCATCCCAATCCTACATTCTGTCTTACCTCTAATTCTTTCAATTATAACCCTACGTACACTTTTCCTGGTTACTCAGTAACTTATTTTCCCCTATAATTTTTCAGTCTCTTTTGTCCCTTTCCCTTTATATAAAGGGACTATTACATGCTCTTGCCAATCCCTAGGTACCTTCCCCTCTTTCATACATTTATTAAACAAAAGTACCAACCACTCCAACACTATATCCCCCCTGCTTTTAACATTTCTGTCATGATCCCATCAGTTCCAGCTGCTTTACCTCCTTTCATTTCATTTATATATATAATATATATATATATATATATATATATATATATATATATTATATATATATATATATATTTATATATTTATATATTTATATATATATATATATATATATATATATATATATATTTATATATATATATATATATTTTATATATATATATATATTTATATATATATATATATATATATATATATATATATATATATATATATATATATATTTATATATATATATATATTTATATATATTTATATATATATATATATATTTATATATATATATATATATATATATTATATTTATATATATATATTATATATATATTTATATATAATATATTATATAATATATATATATATATATATATATATTATATATATATATATATATTTATATATTTATATTATATATATATATATATATATATATATATATATATATATATATATATAATATATATATATATATATATATATATATATATATATATATATATATATAATCTTTTAGGAGTGAAGAAGAGCAGACTGTAAGTGTGGTGGAGGTACGTGAGGCATTACGTAGAATGAAAGGGAATAAGCAGCTGGAACTGATGGGATCATGACAGAAATGTTAAAAGCAGGGGATGATATAGTGTTGGAGTGGTTGGTACTTTTGTTTAATAAATGTATGAAAGAGGGGAAGGTACCTAGGGATTGGCAGAGAGCATGTATAGTCCCTTTATATAAAGGGAAAGGGGACAAAAGAGATTGTAAAAATTATAGAGGAATAAGTTTACTGAGTATACCAGGAAAAGTATACGGTAGGGTTATAATTGAAAGAATTAGAGGTAAGACAGAATGTAGAATTGCGGACGAACAAGGAGGTTCAGAGTGGGTAGGGGATGTTGTAGATCAAGTGTTTACATTGAAGCATATATGTGAACAGTATTTAGATAAAGGTAGGGAAGTTTTTATTGCATTTATGGATTTAGAAAAGGCATATGATAGAGTGGATAGAGGAGCA